TTATGATTATTAATATGGTTATTACTATGTTTTTTTATTATTATTATTATTATTATTATGATTATGGTTATGATTTTTTTTATATTATTATGATGATGATTAATAATATTATGGTTATTATTAATATTTTTATGATTAATATTATTACTATTATTATGAATATTAATATTATTGTTATTATGATTAATATGGTTATTAATGTTGTTATTGTGGGTATTATTATTATGATTATTAATATCATTATTATTATGATTAATATTATTGCTATGATTATTATGAATTATTTTTTTTTTATTATTATTATTATGTTTTTTTTTATATTATTCTGATTATTAATATTATGGGTATTACTATGTTTATTATGATTATTATTATTATTATGATGATTATTATTATGATGATTATTATTATGATTATTACTATTATTATGATGATGATTATTATTATACAGGATTTAAATAGCGCCAACATTTTTAGCGGAGCTTTACAATAAATGTGAGAGAGGAAAGGGGATTTTGGAAATATTAGAGCGAAGGTCTGCTTTGAAGTATATCTTTATACTTTTGTAATTTTTTTTTTTTTTTTTTGTGATGTAGTGGGGGAGGGGAGATTAGAACCCCTGTCCGGTTTTTACTCCCATCCCCTCGCGTCCTGTCCTGGTGTCGCTCCATTTATTTGTTCTTGGACAGGAAGTGAAATCCAATAATGAGCAGTTGTCACCAGAACAGGAAGTAAGGAGAAATCTCCCAAAGGGGACACCTGTTTGGAGGATTTCCTTTCACTTCCTGTTGTGTCACTGGGACAGGAAATGAAGGAAAAGTTCTCCAACAGGACATATCAAAAAAAAAAAAAAAAAAGGTTCCATCTTCGCAGGTGAAATGTCTGAATTTTTGTGACATCTCCCGGGTACGATCGATGCGGGACAATACCAGGTCGGGCGGGGGTTCCCGGGGGGGGGGGCATCCTGCGTATTCCGCTCTGTTGGAGGATGCATATTTATACACAGACTAACAATGCTTCCTTCTAATCACTTCCCGGCAGGAATGTCACATCACATGACCCGGGGGGGGGGGGGGGGGATACAGTGCGCCATACCCTCCGTGTCATCCTATAATTATATCCCTCGAGGGAGCCAATCACTGCACTCCGGGTTGTTGCACTACACTGTGTCAGAGACTGATGGGACTGTGGGGGAGGGGACATTAGAGTGTAAGCTCCTCTAAACAGAGACTGATGGGACTGTGGGGGAGGGGACATTAGAGTGTAAGCTCCTCTGTACAGAGACTGATGTGACTGGGGGGGGGAGGGGGACATTAGAGTGTAAGCTTCTCTGGTACAGAGACTGATGGGACTGCGGGGGAGGGGACATTAGAGTGTAAGCTCCTCTGGTGCAGAGACTGATGTGAGGGAAGTGATGACATTGAGTTGAATTATTAGGACCTGAAAGGTGAAATACATTTGAGTTTCCTCTCTGAGGTGTGTGTGCGCTGCACTGTACACTCTGTATTGCCCTGGTGGGGGGGAGGGGTGCCTTGCTCTGGGTAGTTAATGATTCACCTTTGCTGTTTGCTGTCTGATCTCTGGATTCGGCTGTCTGAGGTGGAGAATGGGATTTTCTCTCCGGGAGGGAATGATTATCCCCCGCTGTGTTTATTCCTCTAGAATGCTCCGTGCGCACTGGGCGTATTCATGACGCTGGTAGCGTCCGCTGTGAGATTTAGCCGCGTTTTTCCACCTTTTGCGTTTTTTAGCACACAAAAAAAAATGTCAAATTTTTGCAAAAAAATAAAAAAAAAACACCCCGAAACGCATTTAGCCGCATTTTTTAAGCCAGGGTAGGTACTAGCCAATGAGGTTCATTTACAAAATAGTAGGGGAGGAGATTAATGGTGGTCACTAGTGGTGACGGAATCCTGTTGGAAATTCGGCAAGCCCAAATGTAGAGGTGAATCGTATGGTGGGCAAGGCTAGGCCAAAATACCATCCTGATCCTTTCCTCACAACAGTTTCCAATTTATGGACATTGCGGCTGTGCCGAGGCGAATCTTATGGTGGGAAAATCTTTTTTGTTAAATTGTAGACATTTGTGGGGCTAACAGACAAAGTAAAAAAATAAAAATAAAAAGGGTATGAGAAGTTGGGCACTGCCATGAAGGGCATGTACCAATGTAAAACAAAAATTTAAAAAAAATCACTTTGTGAGCAAGGCTAGGCCAAAATACCATCCCGATCCTTTCCTCCCAGCATGGACATTGTGGCTGCTCTGAGGCGAATCTTATGGTGGGCAAATCTTTTTTGTTAAATTGTAGCCTTTTGTACCAATGTAAAGCCAAAGTTAAAAAAAAAAATCACAGTGTGAGCAAGGCTAGGCCAAAATACCATCCCGATCCTTTCCTTACAGCAGCTTCCAATTCATGGACATTGTGGCTTCTCTGAGGCGAATCCTATGGTGGGCAAATCTTTTGGTATGGGTATGAGAAGGTGGGCACTGCCATGGAGGGCATGTACCAATGCAAAACAAATGTTTTTTTAAAAATCACTGTTTGAGCAAGGCTAGGCCAAAATCCCATCCCAATGCTTTCCTCGCAGCAGCTTCCAATTCATGGACATTGTGGCTGCGCTGAGACAAATCCTATGGTGGGCAAATCTTTTTTTGTTAAATTGTAGACATTTGGGGGGCTAACAGGCAAACTAAAAAAAAAAAAAAACGGTATGAGAAGGTGGGCACTGCCATGAAGGGCATGTACCAATGCAAAACAAAAATTAAAAAAAAAAAATCACTGTGTGAGCAAGGCTAGGCCAAAATACCATCCCGATCCTTTTTGACAGCTCAGTCCCTGTGCTGGGAGTGCACATTGAGCGCGCTCTCAGCGCAGAAACATCGGTCCCCCCCTGACGCATATGTCTGTGGACGTGAAAGCCCTCCCATTTGCCGTCGCACACATGGGGAACAACCGGTTGGTGACGATCGCTCATGGCTCGACCAGTCACTACATTCATGCCGCCAAATTTTGGGATACCAATATCAAAAATAAAAAAACTATTTTCAGTACAGTGTGGCCCAGTGACCCTGTCATTAAATTTCTTTTCCTGGTGTCACTGAGGGGAGGACATTAATCCCGTCCGGAGTTGGTCTTTAAAACCGAACTCGAGGCAAACCTGCCAAAGAATTTCTATTTCTGTCCTTCCAGTCCTGAGATTTACACAGTTCTGCCACACAGCACAGACCTGCCTGTTAGAAAGCTACCACTGTCGTTGTACCCTTTCCTCCATGACATCATACCCCCGGTGATGTCACAGCTCACCCCAATGATGTCACAGTTCACCATACCCCGGTGATGTCACAGCTCACCCAGGTGATGTCACAGTTCACCATACCCCGGTGATGTCACAGCTCACCCCGGTGATGTCACTGCTCCCTCTGCTGCTTTCCTGTATCGTGTGACTTATTGCAACCCGAGAGAGAGAGACCGAGATGCCGCGCCATTGGCTGTCTATTGAAGCGGCGTCCTCTCCAACGACCCCCCTTGGCCGCGGTTTTGTGCTCCTTCCTATGTGAAGTCTATCCTCCATAATTCACATTCATCCCTCGGGCTGGCTGAGTCACCACCAGCCTCGTGCGCTCGTTGACCCGTTTGTTGCCTGCCGGCCGAGTCTTTCCTCGGATATATAATTACGGTGAATTCTGCGGAGAAGGCGATCCATCTGCGAACCGCAGAGTCAGCCTTTTCATTCCCTTTTTTTTTCAGGGCCTCGTTTCTGGAAGACCTCAGTAAAACAGGGAAGTCCCTTTAAAAATGGCTTCCTGCTGAAGGTTCCTGGTGTCACAGAGTAAAGATGACCTGTCATCAACGTTCCCACAGATCACATGAACCTGTGTTGCTCGTGTCGTCATTCCCAGATCATGTTGTTATTTTTGTCTTCAGGTTCCTTTTTTCATGCTATGGATAGGAAATGGCTGAGCAAGTGATCCCCGGAGCCTAGGCGACCCACATCACATAGGTTTCTGGAGCATTGTGGGCGTTTGGAGGCTTCTTGTGTGGGCCTTCAAAATGGCTGAACTCAAGAACGATCGTGTCACATGTTGTAATATAATGTGATACCGTACGTTGAGTTCGTTGTATTTTTCAGGATTTACTTCCCCTTTATGTTCACCTCTTGATCCTTCACACCGATCAAACAGTCAGTCAAAACTGAAGGAAAAAAGCCACCAAACACAAATTTCAGCCAACAATAGAATATTGTACAACATTCTTCCTGCAGACAGTGTGCACATATATATCAGGGGTCACATGTCTACATTCAAATGGTCTTCTCATGACTACATTTAACCCTGTCTTCTTATGGCTACTTTCATCAGGTCTTCTCATGACTACCTTGGGCCGGTCTTCCCATGTCTACCTTCGGCTGGTCTTCTCATGTCTACCTTCGGCTGGTCTTCTCATGATTCCCTTAGCCGGTTTTCTCTTGGCTACCTTCGGCCGGTCTTCTCATGTCTACCTTCGGCCGGTCTTCTCATGGCTACCTTCGGCCGGTCTTCTCATGGCTACCTTCGGCCGGTCTTCTCATTGCTACCTTCGGCCGGTCTTCTCATTGCTACCTTCGGCCAGTCTTCTCATTGCTACCTTCGGCCGGTCTTCTCATTGCTACCTTCAGCCGGTCTTCTCGTAGCTACCTTCAGCCGGTCTTCTCGTAGCTACCTTCAGCCAGTCTTCTCATGGTTCCCTTCAGCCGGTCTTCTCATGGTTCCCTTCGGCCGGTCTTCTCATGTCTACCTTCGGCCGGTCTTCTCATGGCTACGTTCGGCCGGTCTTCTCATGGCTACATTTAATAGTTATGTTTGGATCTGCATTTAACCAGTCTTCTCATATCAACATTCAGTTGATCTTCTTATGTCTACATTCAACTGGCTTTTTTGTATCTACGTTCAATCGGTCTTCTGATATCTATGTTCAACTGGTCTTCTCATGGCTACTTTCAACCAGTCTTCTCATGGCTACCAGGGGCGGACTGACAACTCATGGGGCCCCCGGGCAATAGGGGATCATGGGGCCCCTGTGTCCTTGCCCAAACTCAAAAAAGCCTATGAAAAAGGTACCAGGGGCATCTCATGGGGCCCCCTACTGACCCCGGGCCCTTGGGCAGTGCCCGAGTTTCCAAATGGTCAGTCCGCCCCTGATGGCTAACTTCAGTCGGTCTTCTCATGGCTACCTTCAGTCGGTCTTCTCATGGCTACCTTCAGTCGGTCTTCTCATGGCTACCTTCAGTCGGTCTTCTCATGGCTACCTTTAGTCGGTCTTCTCATGGCTACCTTCAGTCGGTCTTCTCATGGCTACCTTCAGTCGGTCTTCTCATGGCTACCTTCAGTCGGTCTTCTCATGGCTACCTTCAGTCGGTCTTCTCATGGCTACCTTCAATTGGTCTTCTCATGGCTACATTCAGTCGGTCTTCTCATGGCTACATTCAGTCGGTCTTCTCATGGCTACATTCAGTCGGTCTTCTCATGGCTACCTTCAGTCGGTCTTTTCATGGCTACAATCAGTCATTCTGTTTGGATCTACATTTAACTGGTCTTTTCATGTCTACATTCAGTTGGTCTTTTCATGTCTACATTCAGTTGGTCTTCTCATGTCTACTTTCAACTGGCCTTTTTTGTGTCTACATTCAACTGGTCTTCACAGGTCTGCATTCAAATTGCCTTCTTGTGTCTACATTCAACTGGTCCTCTTATGGCTACCTTCAACCCTGTCTTCTCATGGCTACATTTTGTTGGTCTTCTCATGGCATTCTTTAGCTAGTCCTCTCTTGGCTACTTTCAGCTAGTCTTCTAATGTTTACCTTCAGCCTGTCTTCTCATGTCTACCTTCAGCCAAACTTCTCATGTCTACCTTCAGCCAAACTTCTCATGTCTACCTTCAGCCAAACTTCTCATGTCTACCTTCAGCCTGTCTTCTCATGTCTACCTTCAGCCAAACTTCTCATGTCTACCTTCAGCCAAACTTCTCATGTCTACCTTCAGCCAAACTTCTCATGTCTACCTTCAGCCAAACTTCTCATGTCTACCCTTCAGCCAAACTTCTCATGTCTACCTTCAGCCAAACTTCTCATGTCTACCTTCAGCCAAACTTCTCATGTCTACAGTCAACCGGTCTTCTCAAGTCTACATTTAAGTGGTCTTCTCATGTTTATATTCAGCTGTTCTGTTCAGATCTTCATTTAGCTGGTCTTCTCATGTCTACATTCAGATGGTCTTTTTGTATCTACATTTAACTAGCCTTCTCATGTCCACGTTCAACTGGCCTTCTCATGTCCGCGTTCAACTGGCCTTCTCATGTCCGCGTTCAACTGGCTTTCTCATGTCTGTGTTCAACTGGCCTTCTCATGTCTGCGTTCAACTGGCCTTCTCATGTTCGCGTTCAACTGGCCTTCTCATGTCCGCCTTCAACTGGCCTTCTCATGTCCGCCTTCAACTGGCCTTCTCATGTCCGCATTCAACTGGCCTTCTCCTGTCCGCATTCAACTGGCCTTCTCATGTCTGCGTTCAACTGGCCTTCTCATGTCTGCATTCAAGTGACCTTCTCATGTCTGCGTTCAACTGGCCTTCTCATGTCTACGTAAAACTTGGCCTTCTCATGTCTACGTTCGACTGGCCTTCTCATGTCTACGTTCGACTGGCCTTCTCATGTCTACGTTCGACTGGCCTTCTCATGTCTACGTTCGACTGGCCTTCTCATGTCTACGTTCGACTGGCCTTCTCATGTCTACGTTCGACTGGCCTTCTCATGTCTACGTTCGACTGGCCTTCTCATGTCTACGTTCGACTGGCCTTCTCAGGCCTACGTTCGACTGGCCTTCTCAGGCCTACGTTCGACTGGCCTTCTCAGGCCTACGTTCGACTGGCCTTCTCAGGCCTACGTTCGACTGGCCTTCTCAGGCCTACGTTCGACTGGCCTTCTCAGGCCTACGTTCGACTGGCCTTCTCAGGCCTACGTTCGACTGGCCTTCTCAGGCCTACGTTCCACTGGCCTTCACATGTGTACGTTCAGCTGACCTTCTCAGGTCTACATACAGCTGGCCTTCTCAGGTCTACATTCAGCTGGCCTTCTCATGTCTACGTTCAACCGGCCTTCTAATGTCTACGTTCAACCGGCCTTCTAATGTCTACGTTCAGCTGGCCTTCTCAGGTCTACGTTCAACTGGCCTTCTCATGTCTACGTTCAAGTGGCCTTCTAATGTCTACATTCAACTGGCCTTGTCATGGCAACATTCAACTCTTCCATCAAATGTATCTCATCAACTCTCAGTATCCATTTCACTACTGGTGGTGGTTTGGGGGGATTTCTGGTGTTTAGAAATCAGGAAATATACTATCAGGGATTCCTTATATGCAGAACAGACATGGTTGAGTTGAAAGAAGGTCATGGTGGTGACCTTTTTTAAGTAAGGTTCAGTAAGTGGACACTTCCATGAAATACGGGGGAGGGAGCTGGTTGCCCATCCACATCTCCAGCACACTGGAGGAAGCTGTGTTTTTATTTTTCCTTTAGTCTTTCAGGGGAGTGAGGGGCCAGCATTGGTGTTTACAGAAAAACGTGTCAGAAATGACAGCGCTGCCAGCATTCGGAAACCCCCCTGCCCTTTCCTGAGATGCTTCTCAAAGAGGAACTCTGAGAGTCACTTCCTCCTGAAACCGCGGCTCCCCCGGGTGTACCATTCACAGTGTTTGAGATTTCCTCTCTGAGCGGTAAAACACTGAGAGGGTGAGAACGCAACTCTGCGCAGCTAGAGGGCGGATTATGCAGCACGCAGTGGACCATTATAATACGGGAACTGACCACTGAAATGGAACCTGTACTGAGAAACATACAGGGGCCATTGTTGCTGCCTTCTGATAATGCGATCTGCCTGGCTATCTCTGGTTACAATGCTTTTTTGGAGAGGGTCACTGATGTTGAGCAAGCATGCAGCCAGTGAAGTCAGAACTTGATTAGTGCGCCAGTGGTCATTTTTTGGAAGGAGAGGTCAGCGGTGGCATGTTTCCTCTAAGTATCCTCTTTCTAGGCTTCCTCTCTGGTGCCATTTTTCGTTGGTTTTTATATTTTCTGATGTCAGAAATGCTTTGGAAACCTTTTGTGTGTGTTCTTGTGTCAACAACGAGACCTGTTTCCTGGATTGTGTGCCAGCCTTGTTCTATTTGTTGTGAAACATTGAGGGCGCGTTTAATGTGTGTTGCGCCACAACGGACCTAAACTTGGTATAAAAAATCTACAATGCAACGCTCAAAAATGATACAAAGTAACTAGTGTAAATATTAATCCTATGGCTTGGCAATGGCCGTGTTTTGGACATGTGCCACCAACATCCCCACCCCTTTGTATCATTTTCAGGAGATTCCCTGGCCGATGAAAGTAAACAAAGAGGCTGGTGACATCACTGCCCAAATATGACAATGACCATCTTTGGACTCCACCCTTTTTGATTGCTTTTCAGGAGATTCCCCAGAATTCTAAAGACCTTGTACAGCACTCCCCCAGAATATGTGTCCTCCATGTTGGGAACCAGAAGATAAAAGCCTTACCGCATAAAATAATGTATTAAACAATGTATCCAGTCTGAAAGAGTCGCCACTCTGTAGAGCGTGCCGGACTGCATTATTGTAACAAGAAACGTGACCACGGATTTCAGGACACGCCAAGTCTTTATACTAAGATCTTCATGAAACCACATTGGTCGATCTGATCGGAGTAGGTGATGTCCTGTCTTCAAGGCTGACCACCCTCGGTGGGACCGTCCTCCTAGCACCGTCCTCAATCCTCAACAGAAGGTCACGTAAGAAAGCTCCGCCTCTACGTGTTTCATCAGAATGACCTCATGCACAGGGTAAAGGATCTAAAGCTGGACCTGCTCCATTTTTGCCAATGCGGAGCACCCATAATGCACAGCGGTGCGTTGCCCTGCTTAATGTGTTTTCTGGCCAAGCCTATTCAGGGGAGGGTTGATCACAGACTGGGCTGATCACTATTGGTTCTCTGTGACAGGAGGCAGATGCACCCTCCTTCTGCATTCAAATTGCATTTCTGGTCGGGGGAAGGTCACTCACTGACTGGACATCTCACTATTGGTTCCTTGTGAAAGGTTGATGCCCAGTCCTTCCTGCTGAACACCATATCTGGTCAGAGGAAGGTCACTCAATGACTGGACGTCTCACTATTGGTTCCCTGTGAAAGGCTGATGCCCAATCCTTCCTGTTGGACACCATTTCTGGTCGGGGGAACGTCACTCGTTGACTGGACGTCTCACTATTGGTTCCCTGTGAAAGGCTGATGCCCAGTCCTTCCTGCTGGACACCATTTCTGGTCGGGGGAAGGTCACTCACTGACTGGACGTCTCACTATTGGTTCCCTGTGAAAGGCTGATGCCCAGTCCTTCCTGCTGGACACCATATCTGGTCAGGGGAAGGTCACTCGCTGACTGGACGTCTCACTATTGGTTCCCTGTGAAAGGCTGATGCCCAGTCTTTCCTGTTGGACACCATTTCTGGTCAGGGGAAGGTCACTCACTGACTGGACGTCTCACTATTGGTTCCCTGTGAAAGGTTGATGCCCAGTCCTTCCTGCTGGACACCATTTCTGGTCGGGGGAGGGTCACTCATTGACTGGACATCTCACTATTGGTTCCCTGTGAAAGGCTGATGCCCAGTCCTTCCTGTTGGACACCATTTCTGGTCAGGGGAAGGTCACTCGCTGACTGGACGTCTCACTATTGGTTCCCTGTGAAAGGCTGATGCCCATTCCTTCCTGCTAGATACTCACTGGCCAAGGCTGCTCAGCAGAGGGTTGATAACTAACTGGGCTCATTTCTATTGGTTCCCTGTGAATGACACATGCCCCCTCCTTCCTGACGTACATTTCCTTGCTGAGCCTGCTCGGGGGAGGGTCAATCACTGACTGTACTAATCACTACTGGTCCCTCTGTAAAATGCCCCCACCTTCCTCATGAACACACTCCCTGGCTGAATTTGCTCATGGGAAGGTTGATTACTGACTGGGCTGATCACTACTGGTTTCCTGTGACAGGCAGATTCCCCCTTCCTCCTGCCAGACACTCCCTGGCTGAGCTTGCTCGGGGGAGGGTCATTCACTGTTTGAACTGATTACTGTTGGTTCCCTGTGTCAGGTCGA